GATACATAATAACGACATGAATAATTGTCTCAGACTCGCAGCCACAGCAGGGACACCTCACATCATCAAAAGATGCATATTCGCAAGCACACTACGAGATGGAAGAGTATTAGAGCAACATCTCCAAAGAAAATGGCGTACCTTTGGTGTAACATCAACCTTCCATATTTCAGACTAGTACTGCTCGAAACCTACCAAGAACAAGGACTTTCCCAAAATGTATGCGGACTTCACCTCGTAACATCCATCCTTAGACCAGGCCCACGTGAGAACATCTCGTGGGAGACGTTCGCCGATAGGAATAGCAAAGGAAGCCTGTTTATCTCGCTCATTGAAAATTTCATCGAGCTTGTTCTGGTTCCATCACTTTTCTTCAACATCAATCAAATCCGAAACCAAAGAATACACATCCTCTTTGAATTCTGAAGTAACAAATCTGCTAAAATCATCTATCAACCACAGGTCCTCCCAAATACGAATGTGATGCCTATTTCCAACTCTACATAACATCCCTTCTTTCACCAAAGCTATAGAAATCCATTGACTTTGCCATGAGAAGCTTGAAACAGGTCCAAGAGAAGCCTAAAAAACCGTAGAGTAAAGAAAATATTTAGCTTTAAAAACATGGCTAACTAGGGAGGTTTCATTGGTCGCAATCCTACATAATTGCTTCACGAGTAAAGCATCATTAAAAACTCCTAAATCACGGAAACCCAATTCCACCTAAAAATTTAGGTTGGCATAAAACATTCCAACTCTTCCATGAATTTTCCTCCCCCTCTCACTCGATCCCCACCAAAAAGGGCCATCATCCCCATGAATCTCATTTATTAAAGCCGAAAGGAATTTATAAGCTCCCATAAGATACGATGGGATAGCTTGAATCACCGCTTTTAACAACACTTTTTTCCCTGCTTTAGACAAAAGATTCTCCTTCCACCCTTGAATTTTCTTCCATATTCTGTTTTTCACAAATGTAAAAACCACTTTCTTTAATCCCCCCACATTAGTTGGCAGGCCAAGGTATTTTATACGATTTTCAACCATTTCCATACCAAGGATAGAACTAAAAGTGAGTCTTGATGGTAAAGGAACTCCTTTACTAAAAGATACCTCCGACTTCTCCAAATTGATTTTTTTCCCGAAAGTTGCTTCATATTTGTTGAGAATATCAATAATGATCGAACATTCCTGAGAGGTAGCTCTAGTAAATAATTGACTATCATCTGCAAAGAACAGGTGAGTAATTTCCGGACCATTCCTGCTAGCCCGTACACCATGAATCAACTTTTTCTCCAATGCCACCTGAAGCATTCTAGAAAGAAAAGCAACAACTAGAATGAAAAGATACGGGGAGATAGGGTCACCTTGCCGAAGACCTCTAGATGGAGTCAAAGTATTTGATGGTACCCCAATAATAATGAAAGAATACCTAACGGTGGTCACAAATGCCATGATAGTGTCGACCTAAGACCCTGCAAACCCCAACTTTATAAACAACTTCCTCAGAAATTCCATTCCACCCGATCATAGGCCTTACTCATATCTAACTTCATCGCAATCGATCCCCGACGACCTTCTGATCTTTTTTCATAGTATGAAAAAGCTCTAAAGCAATGAGCGCATTATTAGTAATTAATCTTTTCGGAACAAAAGCACTCTGGTTCTCAGTTACAATCCCTTGCTGGAGAGATTTTAACCTATAAGCCATAGATTCCGAAGCCAATTAACTTCCGAAAGCGAAGATCAACCAGAGACAACATTATTGACAAATTTAGTCACGTCATCACCAACAATGTGCCAATATTTATGATAAAAAATCGCATGTAAACCATTGGGCCCCGGCACCTTACAAGGACTCATTTAAGAAAGAGTAGTTAAAATTTTAGCTTTTGAAAAAGTACGGCATAAAGATAAATTCATACCTTCCGTAACCAAGGTAAGAACACAACTTAGCACTTCATCCATAACCGTCTCATCAATAGTACCTCTCAAAAATAATGAGCCATAGAAGGATAGAACAATTTTTTCAATCTCCTTTTTCCCTGCTCTCTACACACCTTCAGAATCATTAAGCCCCCTGATATAATTTTTGCTTTTCCTCTAAGATGCTTTATGGTGAAAATATTTGGTGTTACGGTCCCCATCCTTGATTTCTGACACCCTCAAACAAAGATACTAGTAGGCTTCATTTTTCTCATGGAGATCATCAATTAGAGCCTCAATCCTGCTACATTCGGCGAAATTTGGGCACCCCACTCCGAAGTTTTGAGCCACCTTCAAAACCTCCTCGGCTTCTGCAATTTTATCTCTGAAATTTTTGAAACTATCTTTGCTCTAAGTCATCAGGTCTTTACCAAAAGTTGCAATTTTTTCGGCCATATTCAGATGGCTAGATTAGCCCACGCACCTTTTATAACATCCTCAATCCCATCTGCTAGCATCCAACAAGTTTCAAAGCAAAAAAATTTCTTTTTTTGGTTTTTTCTTCTTATTCCCACAAGTATTGGTAACAAGTAGAATGGCCATGTGGTCAGATTTATGCTTCGTTAAGTGAGAAACATGGGCTTGGCGAAACCAAGAGGTTCACCTCGAACAAGCCACAAACCTATCTAGACGTTCTCGCACAATATTACTAGGAGATGTGCCACGTTCCGAAGTCACCCAAGAGCCATCATGGCCAAGATCTTTCAAGCTACAATCATCCAGGCATTCTCTAAAAGCATCCATAGCCCGCTATTCCCTCATCACACCTCCTGTATTCTCATCGAAGCTAATAATTTCGTTAAAATCTCCCCCCAATGACTAGGGGATAAGGAGAATCATGATAAAGATCACTGATAAGAGCCCTCGTATTTGACTTAAGAGCTTTATCTGCCCACCCATAAATACCTATGAACCTCCATGTTCGCCCTCCCATCTCCTTAATTACGCCACACATGTGATGGTCAGAATACGAAACTAAAGAAAAATCCATCCCTTCTCTCCAATAGACACAAAAACCACCCGATTTCCCCCTGCTATCTACACCAACTGACATAGCATAATTAAATTTTGTTTTTAGATTTTCAGACTATTCCTACTGATCATAGCCTCGGTAAAAAAAAAAAAATATCCGAACAAATGCTACCACTCCAAAAACGAAGTGCACGAATTGCACGGGAGTTGCCCGCCCCCGACAATTCCAACATAGGATTTTCATTGCTCTTCAGGGGGTTGGCTCCCTCCAACACCCCTTACTTGATTCGAACCATCACCGGTCATCATAGTAGCTGTTGATTTTTTCTTCTTAATCACCTCAAGTTGAGCTTCCTGCTTGATGTCACAACCTATCTCCTTGGCACTTCTCTTAAGAGCTATTATCCCTCCTGAACCTTTCCCCTTCCCACTCTCCTTAACCCCATCAGGTTTCCTCAACTCCCTCTTTTTAATTTTTCTTTTTTCTCTCCCCACCTTCATATGAGAACAAGGTAAATCATGGTCCATCATATCAGACCCGTCATTATGGTCATCTTCCACCAAGTTCATTGCCTCTTCAGTCATCCTTTCTCCCCATTTTCCATAGTCGCATCATCTGCTTTCTCCTCATTCGAATCTTGGCTGGCTAAACTCTTGATTCTTAAAACAGTTTTGGAGGTTACCTCATCAACTACTTTCACCAGAAATGCCTCTTTTGCGCGGGCGGAGGGGGGGGGGGGGGGGGGGGGGGGGGGGGGGGGTTGGAACTACAGCCTTCGAGCCACGCCAGGAGAACCTAGTTTCACAGCATCTGAATCATAATAACAAGGTATGCGAGCTTTCTTCATTGAGAATAAACCGTCCCTCAACTTCTTCCCACTTTCAATCTCAACATCTGTTTTTCACACCTGATTTCTAGGAGAGGCACGTAACCACGGGCCGTACTGATAAACAATCTCCTTGCATACTTCTTTATCTTCGTCCTTGAAAGAACACCCAATCTCGGTATGGTCCATTCGTCCACAAAAGAAATAGAAATCTGCTAGACATTCGTATTTTAGAGCAATCCACTTCGAAGTAGATGGACTAGTAGCAAGGAACAGACCTCGTGGGAGAGGTTTTTCAATGTCAGTCATAACCTTTATCCACATAAAATCTCCCGAATCAAGGGAATTTGAATCATCGATCTCCATAAAAATCCTTAAGAAATCGCCAATTTTAGTCATAGTTTTCTTATTCCGCATATTAAAAGGAACGCCGAGCAATCGCACCTACATAGGCGCAAATCTAAATTCACTAGTGGAAAAAATCTCATTTGTAACAGGCTATTTGTAATGGGGCAAAGTTATGCCGTTACATTAAATATACAAGCTAAAATATGCACGCCATGCGTGCACAATATACCACATACATACATGATATTTTATGAAAATTAAGAGTTGAAATTATTTTCGCATACATATTGTAGATATACTTGGAGATAATGCTGTAATAAAATTACACTATAAAAAACATAAAAAAATATCCTTAGCATGAGTTGTTTTTGCTTCCATACACTTTTGATGCTTAGTTGTTGACTTTTATCACGCTTAGCTTGCTCCCTGATAAGAAGATAAAGAAGTCATTTCATAGATGTATATTAATTAAATAGTTATGTATGCATGTTTAATATTTACGATTATACCTGGTAATTAGGGTTGTGGCATATGAGGCAGGAGGACTTCTTTGTAAACCACGTTTTTTGTAAATACACCACATCTACCTCGAACATCTCCTTTACTAACCAAAACTCTGGTTGTTTCTTGTGAGGTCCCTCTCGATAGTGCAACATATAACTATCCATGGCTGAAAACATGTTGGGGGAGATATATACCAACATGAGGAATGGTTTGCCCCTGCGATTTGTTTATGGTCAAAGCAAAACACAATTTCACAGGAAATTGTTTCCGGATCATTTCAAATGGCAACTTCACATCTTCTGCCGTTTTTAAAGGAATACATGGAATGAACACTCGTGTCCCTTTATGACTTCCGGTCAAAATTTATGCCTCAATCACATGATCCCTTAACCAACTACATATTAACCTTGTCCCATTACACAACCCACTACTTGTATCAATATTTCTCAAAAGCATGATTGGAGAGCCAACTTTTAGCTTAAGAATATGTGGTGGAAAACCACCAAAGGATAATGAATTCAAGAACTCCTGTTGATAGAGATTTTGACGATCTTCTGGAACAGTGTCACATGAGTAATAGGTTTTTTCTTCTCCGACAAACTCTGTAAGTATCTTCTCATTAAGCATGTCAACTTCGTCATTTGTTGGTGTTATTATAGCTCTTTGTACCATGTATGACACATCACCTACGTGCTCAGTGAGGTTTGGGAATATTTGATGGATAAGATTATCAACTGAAATATTATCACCATTTCCTGCACATATTGAAGATGGTAACTTTATCATGTCTTCATCAACTGTAGGCTCACATCCATCTCCAACTCTTAAAAGAAAGGCTGCAAATTCAGGATCCTGTATCGATCTCATATTTTGAGTGAGATGGAGTAGCTGAACATGTCTCCATAGTGTTGACCTGACCAAACACACATCTATAGTTTGAGCCTTTGTTCCTTTTGGTACAACGGGTAAAATTTGTCTAAAATCTCCACCAAACACTACGACTTTGCCGCCAAATGGAACATCAACCCCTGTTAGATCTCTTAAACTACGATCAATTGCTTCATACGCATGTCGATGAGTCATTGTTGCTTCATCCCATATAATGACAGCTGCATACTTGACCAATTGCGCCTCTACATCTTGTTTACTTAACTTCCAAGTTGACGAAGCATGCAGCGTAACCGGAATACCAAGAGTTTTATGAGCGGTTTTTTCCTCGATGCAATAGTGTGGCAGCAATACCTGAGCTGGCTACTGGTAATCTAAATTTCCCTCTAAGCTTGACTATTGCAAGTATGGCTCGATATAGATAAGTCTTACCTGTCCCACCTGGACCATCTATAAAGAAAATTCGACCATTCTCTGCATCAATAGCTTCCATTATGATATCAAATGAAGACCGTTGGTCGTCATTAAGATGCTCCGCACAATGCACGTCTTCAGGGGGCACTGGTGCTGATAATTCATCATGTATGGCTCTAGCTACTTGTGCATTTCCATCCAATCGCATGTTTATTTTAGGTAAGTCGAAGTCATTGACACTCTTTCCTAATTGTTTTAACATGCGATCTATATCATAGAGAACTGAATCACGTACCAGCTCTGGATTTGTTGAAGTTGAATATAAGTAGTCTTCAGCCATGTAATGATAAAATTCATCCCATGAAGATCGAACCCCAGTTGGTTGACAATAAACCAATAACGTGACAAACAATCTTCTCAATGATGATGGCATCTTAGAGTTTGATGCTTCACGCAAACAATCACGAATGCTTGCATCATTCTCCATGAGACCTAGTTTTTCAGCTGCTTCTCTAAAAGTAGAATAAACAATCCCATTGACAGTACGTAGATGCTCAAATGATTCGGGGCCTTTAACATGATCCAACAACAAACGCAAGAAAAATCTTTCTCCTTCCATTGGTGAGGCTGTGTAGATTCTACCTATCACTCTTTGTGTACTCCTCCTTTTTCTCCATGTTTTTGTAGCTGTCAGCCACCGATAACGTTGAGGAAATTCTCTATATAGGTATGTTCTTGCCTCTGGATCTAAGGAATTCATCTTGAAAAACTCTGTGAGCATAGTTCGAGATTTTTGTGGCATTTGAAGGATGTCTTCAATAGATTGATTTGTACTGAATCTAACCATTTGCATATCTTGCAAATGTAGCTGTAATCGATCAACAGATGAACACATTCGAGTAATGGGAAACTAATATATCCTCCATAATGCTTCAGGTGCACATACCCACCTAGCATCCACATATTGTTGAATCTCATTGTGTTCAGCCCCTGTTCGAACTTCCATTGAAACACGATCTACACCCTTATGCACATACTTGTACAAATATTTTACACTCTTGATGCTACTAGAGATCTCTACATTGATATGACAATCATATTTTAGTAGCAACCATGAATTATATGGAACAACCCAACCATTATCAACGAAGGTTGCACTATTCTCATGTAAAGGCACTGGCGAACGATCACCACGACAACGATAAATAGGATATGAGTTCTTGCCTTGGACTGTGCTTTCTGCAAAGGGTTTAGGAAATTTACGTTTACAAACCCCATTTTCCATGCAAGAAGAATTTTGACGACCTTCGCCACACGGATTATGGGTCATATGCTTCAAAACAGCATCATATAATCGTGGTTCTTCATCTCTATCAGGTATCTCGGCTCTCACAAATGTGTCATACTCTTCCGGAGATTTTAGTTTGTCTTTTTCGTCCAAAATGAGCAGCATGTGAACATGTGGCAAGCCTCTTTTTTGAAACTCAATGACATATACATAGGCAATAACCTTCCCTAGAGCGCCTTTTTCTACAACGTCCATCTTGAATTCCTCAAATTTTGCATGGAATATTCTGGTGATTAAGTCGGGACAATCTTGTGCTGTTTGACCTGGCAATAACTCATCTACAATTTCTCTCCACGATGGGTTGCATGTCATTGTCAAAAACAGGTCTGGTTTTCCATAATGTGTAACTAATGCCATTGCATCTTGAAATCTTTGATTCATGTCTCTTGGACACCCGACAAACGAAGAAGGTAGAACGGTTGTTTTCCCGGCATTTGCTATAATTACAATGTACCGTAAATTATATTATAGTACATAATAATAGTAAAAATAAAATTAAAGGCAAACAACATATTTAAGAAAAGAACCTGGATTGAGTTCTCAGACATCTAAACAATCTTGAAGTCCCTGATACAATTCAGCTCTAATTGTATCTTGATTATCTCGAATCCATCTTAGCTTATTTACCTCAATTTTCACAAACATGTCAACAATGAATTGTTGAAATAAGCGCCCTGCCATTAAGATGATGGAGATATATTGTCGTACCTACAATAAATAAAGTATTGTTAAATTATGAGAAAATAATATAAATCTACATGTTAATCCGAGAGAGGAGTGTACTTTACTTGAATGATATAAGCGTAGAATGCTCGGCAAGGTATGGTTCTTCCATTATTATCAAGACTGTTTATCGACCATCCATAAGAACCGTATGGAAATAATAATGGATATTGAAGGGGATCATAGTATCCAGCAGTATCCAACACATTCATTAATTGGCCAGAGGTTGATTGAACTAAAATATCCCTTGGATTTAAGTTCGCAACCTGTTCTCCTCTGACAATCACAGCCGCAACTTGAGAAGCAGTAGGAAGACAATATTGTGGTCGATCTGATGGTTGTTCATTAATACGGAGTGCACATTCTTGTATGTTTCCTTGTTGAGCCAAACTTCGAAGATTATGAACAAAAGGATTGCACCGATCAAGGATGGCTTTAATTTTTTCTACAATATCTTGTCGTATTGTGTTATTCTCCGCAAGACGATTTTCAACCTCATGCTCAGTGTCATATATGTACAACTGAAGGAATCGTGGTCGAGATTCTGATGTACTTGGGAACAGCCCGCCTATCTTGTGATATATAGACCCTTGAGCTCGAAATGTGTATACTCCGTGTTGAGCATTAGCTAAGCTCTCATCTAAGTGCACTCCCATGGAGGTTAAAGCGAATAAGTGATTAATTTTTCTAATGTCACTCTTAAATTGTATTCCAATAGGTGTTTGATCAATGTATAAAGAACGTAGATCTTCGGGAACAGGTAAGGTTGGCAAAATAATCTTCCCAGACAAACAACATATTTGGGATGTTTCATTATGAAAAAGGCGAGCTTGACAAAACTCACACGTTCTCGGAGGTGATAGTTGAACGATCGGGACTCCTCTTTGCTCATGAAAGTTTATTGCAGAACGATGACAGACTCTTCCCCTATTTCTTCTTTGAACATTGTTGTTATGCATTACATTAGGATTGCCTTGAATGCCACTATCACCAAAAATTGTGCTACCACCTTGGATATTTGACGAGGGTTAAATCGGTTGCTACAATCTAACTCTCAATCAAACAATACTTATACGAACACCCTATAACCAAGTACAATGGCAAATAAAGGTTCGGTCCACGAGGAACGAGAGTAATTGCAAATCAATCTTAAACCTAAGCTAGTTCGAAATCAATGGAAAATGGTGTTCTAAAATACTACTAATAAGATGGAATAAATCAATAAACTAAGACACTAGGGAGAACGGGAATTCACCAAACCATCGGTAACTACGCAACAAGGAATCACAGAGACAAACGGGATATGCAAAGACTATATGTCTGATCAATATCATGTGATAGGAAGACAACGGGCAATACTAAGCTTGGATTTCTCATGCACTTAACATTAATCGATACATAATCAAACCACATTCAATAATGAAATACTCAATTCACAATCTCTTGTTCAAATCAAGGATATCATGCAATCAAATTCAAGATTCTAGGTTAGCTACTCCTATTATAATGAATTAACATGCAATCGCATATAATCAATTTAATCACAATCCGTTTATCAAAATCATTCCTCAATTACATAGATTACCTAGGCTGGGTTTCATCCCGAAACCCTAGCTAGGAGACTACTCACACATATTCATAATCAAAGCAATAATGAATTCCAAAAGCATAATAGATATAAACATGAATTTTGATTAAGGAATAATAAAGCTTGATTAATAAACAAGAATGAATAATACCAATTGTATTGATGCGAATCAATGGAAAAGTTCAGAACTTTGATATCCGTCGTCAATGAATAATACAAAGAATCTTCACAAATCTTGCTTCAAATCAATCCAAGAAAACTAAAATCGCTAGAATAATCTCTAAGAAAACTAATGAATATCTAAAACTAAGAACGTTCTCCAATAACTCTCTACAAAGGCTCTCAAAAACTATCTCTAAAACTGTCTCTTAACCCTTACAATCGGGCTATATATATATGTTTTAAATCGGAAAGTAAATCGCAGGCTGCCCTTCGTGAATCGGCACGGCCGTGCTGGAAGTGGCACGGCCGTGCAAGCATGGCAGTAGCTGATCCGCAATATCTTCAATTATGGCACGGTCGTGCTGAATTTGGCACGGCCGTGCTAATGCCTGGCACGGCCGTGCTGAATCTGGCACGGCCGTGCTAATGCCTGGCACGGCCGTGCTGAATCTGGCACGGCCGTGCTAATGCCTGGCACGGCCGTGCTGAATCTGGCACGGCCGTGCTGAAAATTGGCTTGGCACGTCCGTGCTAATGCCTGGCACGGCCGTGCTGAATCTGGCACGGCCGTGCTAATGCCTGGCACGGCCGTGCTGAATCTGGCACGGCCGTGCTAATGCCTGGCACGGCCGTGCTGAATCTGGCACGGCCGTGCAGCATAGGCAGGAAGGTTGCAGGCACTTTGGTCTTCTTAAAACAATCACAACTTCTTATCCAGAGCTCCGTTTGAGGCGTGCAATATATCGTTGGAAAGCTCTTCAAGTCTACTTTCTAATGCAATTGGAATCACTCCATTATCATTTGTATACCGAAAGTTGTGAGAAAAATAGTGAACAAGTGTCATATTTGTGAACTGTTCTGCCTTGCCTGCTACTTAACTTGCCTTTCAAGGCCTTGAGAACCGCAGCAAAGCCTTAGCTTGGTGGACTAGGATCGATAATAGCCTGATAACGCACCAAT